GAATATGTAACAAGACTATAAATAGAACATTGCCTATTTTCACAGGATTTTAATTCATATCTGAGGACAGGAGATGAAAAGTCTGCACAAGCTGCAGTCTCCATGGAAACACTGCACAATGTTTATTATATAAATGAGCCAAGGATGGCCTCTGAGCATTAGTCCTAGGTTGTTTATTTCATTAACTGTAGGCTGAGAGCTAAGAGCCTTTGGTGCCACATTCAAATTTTTACGTATCAAATTATTTTAAAAGTATTCCAAACAAGCAAATCTTTAGTTATTCACAGCCTGTTCCTTGTGTATCTTACAAAATTTCATACCACATTTGCTGGCTACTCATAAGGTAGAGGCTTATAGTTATAAGACTTCAATCTACAGCTGCCCCCTAGAGTTTTCTGACCTAGAAACTACACAATTTGGCATTGCTTATAAGCATAAGCTCCCTCTCTAGTCCCCTCTCCTCTAAGAGTCCCTTCACCTTCATTCCTTTCGGTGTAGCTGTCCCCTACCCACTATAAGTACCACAATGGTCTCCTACTGTGAGGATTTTCCCTCCAATATGAACACGTCTGGGTAAATAAAGCTGCTTCTGTTACTGCCGCCCTTGTGGTAGTAAATTTTCCTTGATCAGCCTACAAATCCCTTGGGCAAATCCTCTACAATGCTGAATTGACTAAAAAGTAGAAACCCCAGTTGAGCAACCTCCACTCATTAAAGACCATTTAAGAAAATATTCAACGTTTCAAAGATGATTTTAAAAGCAATATGTATGAGCAAGGAGTGTTTAGGCTTTTTCTCCTACCTACTCTATGAGGGAGGAGCAGGTGAGGTTCTTTTTAACACTAAATCAAACGTGTCAGTTTGAATTCTCCAGGAAGCCAAAATGGGATTCTGAGTGCAAAGGATTTATTGGCAAAGGTAAAGTGGAGAAGCCACATGAAAGGTAGGAAGATCCTTCAGCTGCAGTACAGACCTGACACCTGTAGAAGATGAAGGATCGGGAAGAGGGGTTGGATGGAAGAGCTTCAGGACTGTAGTGCAGCCCAGCAGAAAGCTCGGATGCAAAGATGCCCCATAGAGGAGGGCCACACTGAGCATAAATGACCCAGCATCCTGCTGTGCTAAGCGACCAACTGAGAGCTGACTGCAAATAGCTTGGCCTCAGCCCAAATGCTGCAGGAGATTCTGACAGCATTGAACTTGGATCATGACTGAGAGCAAGTTCTCCACTGAAGCCACATCTCATTAGTCCACATCCATGGCTGCCATAGGCCATCTCTTAGCCACATGGCTCCATTATTCCATGTCTTCAGAGAAATTCCTCCTTGGCTCTGGTGGGCCCATCTGAAGGTACATTTAGAAGGAATGAGCTGTAAGGTAGGACAAAGTATAACCTCCAGTCACTGCAGTCAGTCCTGTGACTGCAGATCTCCATGATTCCCCTCTTCCACTATCCTCTTTTTCCCTCAGCCTCAACTATCACCTCTGCAGTGCTGGTGACTTCCTTCATCCCTGAGGGTCTGATTCCCTGGGACCAAAATTCTTATCAGGCCAGCATTGCTCTAACTGTTCACCCACAGCTCCAGTCACACCAGGGAGCACCAAGAGTCACCCACAGAGATCATGTGGGTTGCCCACATATTCCTCCCTGCCCCCACTGTTGATGCAGTCCTGCCTCTTCCTTGATAAGCAACTATTGCCCCTACCAAGATTGTTACTCTTCCTGCTTAATACTCTCTGGACACAGGAACCCCAGAAATATCCACCCAGCAGTCACAGCTATGAGTCCAATGGGACCCGGGCCATATCTCCTGGTGAGAGTGCCCTTTCCGTAAAGACCAAAACCTCTGCAGAACTGAGAGTTGAGGAGTTGGGAACCGCAAAGTTAGCCCCTAATTAAGTCACTGGGAAAGATGGAAAGTGAGACCACTGTGGCCCCACCCATTAGCTCAAAGACTCAAGTGTCCTTCCTACTGGGAACAGAGTGCCACCTAGAGCTCCCTGATTCAGCACATATGGCTGCATCCTGGAGGATGGCAGCTCATCCTTACAGGGTATCACCGCCAAATCTGTGCTTCGGCTGCACCTTCGGCAGGCCATTCCCACAATCTACCAAACAACAGCTCTGGCTGATGCAGTGTGTGACTGCAGAGGGTCCCATGTTCACATGCCCACTCACACACCTCCTTTACTCTGATGTGTGTCCCCTGCTAGAAGTCCATGTTCTGTGAGATTCCAGCCCTACAGATCACACACTGTGGAAACCCCAGGATAGTGATGTAGACTGAAGTTCTGCCACAAGGAAAGGAAAAACTCAGAATAGCTTTTTATTCTTTAAGAAAGAACTGTTGGCTCCTCCTAGAGAAAAGGGAACCAACGTGGAGAAATGATGCCTTACGAGGGTCTTAGCTTTGATCTGTTGTGAGCACATGAGACATATACAGTCAATAGTAGCAGTAAAGACCTTGGTAAGTGGGGCTCCATATTGTTGGGCCCAACATCTCTCATATTGTGGCCACCGTCTTCATATGCCCATGCTGTCAGTTTTGCACTGGCTGGTGATGAAAAGTGGGTAATGCCAGCTAGCTGACTCATTTTTCCTATCTGATTGTTCAATCCACTTCAATTCCTGATGTTTTCTGGAAGGCATTAATACGTTTTTGATTTGGCCAGTGGTCACTACTCAGAAATCTGTGTATATTCCTATGTTGGGCCACTTCTCTTTCCATACAAAGTGAATTACAAGATGCACTATAAAAGTCCCACCCATTGGGAAAGTCTTCCTTCCTTACTGTCCTTCACAGACATCCCTAGGTGAATGCAGATGGAATAGAGATGCTATCCATTATAATCTCATACCCAAATACCTAATGGGTCTGATGGGACTCAGCTCATAATAGGAAGTTCCAGACACACAGTTATTTGGCCTCCCGTAGTCAACCACTGTATCTATCAGGGCCCAGAAACAGGGCCGGGTCTGTTTCTAGAGAGGCATACAATGTTCTGATACAGACAGCGTGACCCAGAACCCCATGGTTCCAGAACCCCATGGGCTGACTGGCAGCAATTCGCCCATGGGCGCTGGCCTCACACCTCACACTGCATCCTTTCCCGCGTGGACACCTCTGAGACCCTAGGGCCTGTCGGACGAGATGGCCCAAGAGCTGCTTACACAGCAGGTAGTCCTGCTGCAGATCTCTCTCCCGTTCCTGACCTCTGTCTAAGCTCTCAGCCTTCTGTGACACCTGATGTATGGACTACAGAATCATCGTAGGGGTTGAATGCTTTCTCCCAGGAGCCAAAGTGGGCCTCTTGGTGCACCAGCTCCTTCTTGTGGAGGGGTGCTCAAATGTAGCGATTTTTCCTTTAATTTGAAAGAGATATGGAGTAAAACTGACTCTTGCTAACCTCCCTGCCCTGGCGCAGCTCTGAGGGACAAGGGCGGGGTGGGGGGATGGGCTGTGCGCACTTCCCTTTCCACTCGTGACCACGACGGCACCGCTCCCCGCACCTCCCCTGACCTTCGGACGGTCCACGCGGGGCCACCCCAAGCAGGGCCAGGGGGACGTCGCCCCAAACCACGTGATGGGGGAAGGGCAGCGACCGCCCAGGGCCCACGGGGCGGTTCCCAGAAGAGCGGCCGGGCCCATTTGTGATCCTCCAGCACCACCTGGCGGCCGTCGTGGGCACGGCCTCAGGAGAATCCCGCTGAGGCCGGGCTTGCCGGGAACAGCCATTTCGCCCAGTAGCAGGTCGCATATCCCGGTGGGCTCCGCGCCTGAGCGCGAAACCGCAGGAAATGGCGGCGTAGGCAGGTGCACTCATCACGGCCACATAGACTAGGCGCGGACCAACCTGGTGCATGCATGCGCAGGCGCACACACGCTGGCCAAATACTCCCCAAAGCGCAGGCAGTTAAAGGTGCTGCACTCTGTAGCCAGGCTGTGTTCCCAAAGAGATCACAAATGTTCTAGTACCATACTTCAGACATAGGGTAAACATACTAAACTAGGGAACTATTTTAAATAAGTAGGACAGGTAGGTCTCCTGACTTTATTCTCTTGCATTCTTCAACACCTTAGTTCTTTCTCAAAGGCTAATTATGGAGGGGGTGGAGATCCCAGCAGTCACTGCCCTCACCCACCAATATCTTGCCCACTGGCACCTTCTGGCTTGCTGCTGAGACTTTTTTGAGCCATCAATCACTGAACTTTGTTTATGGCAAGCTTTGAAGGTGTGGCAACCAATAGCATGTAGGAAACCATACCTCATAAGGTCAGAATAATGGCCCCATTATTTTTTTCCCACCACGCTATTTCCAAGGAGACCCCTCCCTCAATTTCCCATTGCAGAGAGGAGGCTCACTTGGAATATTCAATGAGATTTACTGAAGAGAAACAGTAACTAAGACCATTGAAGAGAAGATGACTCGATTGATAAGAGCTCCTCACAATCACTACAGGCCACAGGTTCCTATTCTGCTCCAGGGTTTCTGACAAGGTGCCTTATCCACCAGTCATGCTGGGGCCCTTCAGCCATGTTGTACCTTCTCAAGGGGCCTAAATCTGCCTCTTGACAGGATATGGTCTCTGGCCATGCACATTCTAGGAGATTCTCTATGAGGCTGACCCACTGTGGAGGAGCCCTGCCCTATGGCTAGCACAAATAGTCACAAGACATCAGAAAGCACAGCAGGGAACACCTCACCACACCAAGAACAGAGTAACAAGTAGCAACAGGAATGAAACATCAAAGCACAGTCCCTGGATTTCTTCTCCATCTATAGTCCAATTTTTTCTTTCCAAGTTTATGGTCACAGTCATTGGGTGAACACCAACCACTCCATCTTCCATCCTTCCCCTCTATGACTGGGCTGAGGGACTGTGGGCAGGAACTGCTCAGATAAGAACACACACAAGAATAAGCAGCAAGCAACTGGCCTAGATCTACTTGTAGAAAGCAGAGGTTGACCTCCTGACACTGACAGGAGTGGCCAGAGCCTTGAATGGCTCAGAAAGAAGCGCACAGCATGTGCCCTGGACTGCAGATGGTCAGCTGGGTGGCCACCTGAGCAAGAACTTCCACTGGGGTTTTACACACACACACACACACACACACACACACACTACTTTAAGTGTTGTACAGGAACAGCAGCTAGTGTGGGTATGGGCATTTGTCTCACATGTGGGTCACTAGGGGTCCTACAGATAAGGGTGGGCTTCCCAGGACAGGGAACAGTCTACCCCAGGGACAGGACCAATGAATGGGGGGGTCCCCTGTTGGGAGAGCTGAGGAGTTGGTACCCTTGAGACAGTCTGTTCTCCCTAACATCTGCAAGTGGGCTTGGGGGAAACATCTTCAAGGGCCCTCATTCCAGGCACAGCTGGCCCTCATGGTGCCTCCAGGCTGGCCACCCAAGTGGGTAGGTTTTGAGGCTGTATCTGGGGTGATGCTACCATGGGGAGGGGCATCTCTCACCACCCACCCCATTTAGTGGCAGATGTGGGTCACCTGGGTCACTTGGAAGGGCAGGAGGTGCGGGACTGGGGCCCTTTGGGGAGTGGAAAGATGGGAGAGTTTGTTTTGGGCTGGTGATGCCCTTCCCTGAGTCCAGCTCCAAGTGCAGGTGATACAGCCCTGGCCTCACCTCTCCGACCCCAGGGCTCTGCCGCCTGAGCAGAGAGGCAGCCCCTGGGCATTCTGAGCCTATTCTCTTGAGGAGAACTCGGGGTGGCTCATCTCCCCAGCCTCATCCTTGTTTCCCAACTCTTCCAGGACAGCCTTAAGCCCCTCCGTAATGGGCTCCTCAGCCTCCTGCTCTTCTTGCCTGGGCGAGGCTCTCTGGCCCATAGCCAGGCCCTTCTGGACCTGCCCCAGAAACGCTGCATATCGGGGCCGTGGGAGCCCCAGGGGCATCAGAGGGCCCTGCCTGGCCCTGGCCTGCAGGACCGAAGGCTTCTTCATCTTCCTGAGTGGCTGCCTTTGTGGCATCATCGGCATCAGAAGCAGCCTCAGCAGCACACTCAGGATCGGGAGCAGCCTCGCCGCTGGCCTCTTCCTGGACTGAGGAGGCCTGCGACGCATCTTCCACGGCAGGGGCAGGCCCAGCAGCCTCTCTGTGGGATGGCCCAGCCTCGGCGGCCTCACCTCCCAACTGCTCTTTCCCAACCAAGGCAGCCTCCCAGGCTTCGGTCTCCCGCACCAGCTGGAGCAGCGCCAAGTAGCCAGGAGGTCTCCTCTCCAGCCGCATCCTTCTCAGCTTGTTCTGGAGAGTCCAGTTTGGCCTGGCCCGCATCAGCACCTGCCGGGCTCGCATCTGGTCTGTGGTGGCTGGGTGGATGGCTCCCTTCTCCACAGCTGCCTGCAGGAGGCCTTCCAGGCGCTCCACATAGGCCAAGAGCGTCTCCTGAGGCCCCTGTGAGCAGATCAGGAACTTCAGCCGTGCGGTCACCTGGATGTTCTTGTTCCCAAACACCTGCACCAGCGCGGCCAGGCAGTCCTGTGCAGGGGTGTCTGGGTGCTCTTCCAGGAGCTCAAAGATGACATCCAGGGCAGGGCCTTCCAAGCACTCCACCAGCCTCCTCCTCCTCTCCCTCTCTGAAATATGGCGCCACAGGTACAGCATGTCATTGGCGTGGTTCAGCCAGCTCTCGAAGGACTCTTCTTCCTCAGGATCTGGCTCTGCGATCCCGGAAAAGGCTCTCAGTTCCTGGTATGCCATGTTTTCCAGGATAGGCTGCAGTGCCTGGGCCCACTGCTGGGCTCCTGCTCTAAGATGGGTCACTGCTGCTGCATCCCAGGCCCCTTCTCCTGGAGGTCCTGCCTCACCTGCAGCTCCTGCCATACCCACAACTCCTACAGCACCTTCAACTCCTGTGTCTCCTGCAGCTCCTTCCTCATCTGACACTCTTGCTGCATCTGCAGCTCCTGCTTCACCTGCAGCTCCTGCC